TGGCGCCGAAAAACCAGTAACGACGGTGCCAGGCGGACCTCTTTGGGGAGTGAATTCCATAGGTTGGGCGCCACTGCAAAGAAAGCCCTCCTCCGAGTGCTTACTCTCCTAATTTCTTTCATGACAAGCGGGATGGCGAGGGAGGGCGGGAAAGGGGGACAGCGCGATGTGTGCAGACCTGCCTGAAAGTCTGATGTGCACAAAGCCCCACCACAACCGAGGATGTACTCCAGCAAATACACCTGCCAGTTACAAACACACCTGCCGGCACACCTGCCATTGCTGGGCTTCGGTGATGGAACCTGGCTGGTTCAAGGTGCTCAGGCCTCCTCCAAGCAGCGACACCCAGGCCAGAATGTCTCCCGCCCCCACCCCGAGTCGTCTGGGAAAGGCTGCGGAGAGGGGGCTGCAGGCACCATCAGAGAAAGCTCCCCTACGAGGAAGGAACAGGCAGCCCGCCTTGGCATTCAGCCGGTTCCTAGTACAGGCCCCCCGTGTGGGGCGATGCCATCTACTTCGAAAGCCATCCAGAGAACCTTCAAGTTATGGGGCAGCACAGACGTAGAACGAAGTAAATACTTAACACATAAATACTCCCAGGTCAGCTTCTAGGAGAGCAAAGAGACGCCTCTCCACTGACCACCCGCGACTGAAGAGCAAGCCAGGAAGGCAGCACACCCTTCTTATGGCTTTCTGCGACAGGGGCAGCAGAAAAATGTTACAATAAATAAAATAAAGAAAGAAATAACTGAGGAACGTTCAGCTGCAAAGGAAAATTTGCTGGCATCCAAGCACTCAGCCTTCCACCAAAGGAAGCGCCCAGGAGTGGATGAGATGCGTTGGTGAACCTCGTAGCCTTCCCCAACTTGGCGCCCACCCTAAGTCGTGATGGGAACTGTGGACCAACCGGGGGCTAGGCCAGGGATCGCTGCAGAATCCCACCTTTCATCCTACTGTCCAAACCCCATTAAGAGTCAGAGAGGAGGGGGGCCAAGGGCAGCACCGCGATGTCGCCCGACATGAACAGGCCGAATGACGACCGACCGACCGAGCGCCTCCTCCGCGTTTCTAAGCAGGAGACAAAGGCTGCGAGAGATCCGGGAGCCAAGCGCCACCCCGGTGCTTCAAAGCGCCCGCTGTCACGCCCTCAGGTTTTGGCCATCTTTTCGAAAAATGTGGCTAAGCTGGGCCCCAGGCCTTTGCCCCATCGTGCTGCCCCTCCTCTCCTCTTGCGCACAGCAGTTCTCAGGTGCTTGTTTTCCAAAACGAGCCGCGAAAACAAGGCTGCTTCCTGGTCGAGGGGCGTCGCAGGCCAGATGTCAGCAGACTGTGACTCAGCTCCTTTTTCAGCCAAAAGCACTAAACAAAGAGCTTCTGCCAAAACTAGCCGCTAGAGACACGTGCTTCGGTTTGGTTTCTCTTATCGTACTAGAGCAACTACTGCTGTTGAGCAATTGCTCTGGGAATTTTGGGGAGCAGAGAAGCAGGGGGCTGGTCTAGATTTGCACAGAATCAGCTGTGCTGAAAGGACGGGGAGAGCCCCCAAATCTTCCCATGTCATAAAGCAGAACACAGGAGGAGAGCATGCGTGGGGAGCCCCTAAGTCAGGGGTCCGCACACTTTTCCACCGGGGGGCCAGTGGAAAGGGGCCAGTGCTGGGCACGGGCCGGAAAGGTGGTGCCGGCGGGCACGCGGCACAAGCAGTGGGCGTGCGCGGCGAGGGGAGGCAGGGTGGGGGTGGACACACGCCGCGATGCAGCGGCTTGCTTGCCTGGAGATCGTTTTCTCCTAGCGAGTCCAAAACTATCTCCTTGTCAGCAAGCCGTCATCTCCCCGCGCAGCGGGCAAGGCGTGCAGCGGCAGGCGCGCGTGAGACACGTTGAAAACCACTGAGGCAGGCCAGAAAAATGGGCACGGCAGGCCAGATCCGGCCCCCGGGGCCGCAGTTTGAAGACCCATGATCTAACTGATGCAGCTGCGAAAAAGCACAGGTATCGTTCTGCAAGTCACAGTAAGGAACAGCTCCCCTCTATTCTGTGACGGGCAGCAGTCACTTCAAATTCTGGGTGCAGCTCCAGCTTCTACTTGAGGAGGACAGTTCAGGTAACCTGGAGGAATTTTTAGAAGGGCAACAGAGATACCAGGGGACAGGAAACGAAGCCTATGGGAAAGAATGAAGAACTGGGCCTCTTTCGTATCGAGAAAAGTGAGGTGATGGTATGTCAGAACTTTGCGGGTACTCAAAGGGTTGTCACCACGAAGAGGCCCACAACCCGTTCGCTCTCATCCAAGACTGTAGGGAATAAAATAATGAGCTTAAGCTACAGAGAGGCAGATTTTGGCTTGACCCCAGGGAAAAGTCCCTGCAGTCAGAGCCATCAGACCATGGAACGATCTGCTCGGGGGGTCCTGGGCTCCCTGCCCCTGGGGGTCTTCAAGCCAGGGGTGCCTTCACTTGGATTCCTGCACCAAGATGGGGTTGGATTTCATGGCCTAAACCAGTGATGGTGAACCTTTTAGAGGCCGAGTGCCCAAACCGCAACCCAAAACCCACGTATTTATCGCAAAGTGCCAACACTGCAGTAAAACCTGAAAACAGGTTTTAGTTTAGAAAAAACAACTCACAGCCAGTCCAGGCAAATATATATGTATCCTTGGCAGTGCACTGACCGGCCATGCGAAAGCTCGGATGAGTCATGGCTAATGAGTTGTGGCTTGTGATGTCATCGCCTGGCGCCACTATTCCTTTCCAAGCATGCGCGTGGCCCCTATGTGCGCTGTTATCCGATGCTTGGCTGTGGGGGCAACTTGGCTCACATGCCAACAGAGAGGGCTCTGCATGCCCACTGTGGTACCCGCGCCAGAGGTTCGCCACCACTGGCCTAACCCTACCCTGGTGCACACCCCTAACCCTAATATAGGGCTAAAGTTCCATTGAAAAGAGGGCGATTTTGAAAAAGCCTTCCTTGAGTAGCTTTTTCTGCGCAGCTCATCATTTCTGCCCATTCTAAACACATTCCAACCACCAAAATCATGCCATGACACCTCATTTTTCTAACTCCAACCCAGTGATGATGAACCAACCCAGTGATGATGAAAAAACAACTCACAGCCAGTCCAAGCAAATATACATATATCCTTGGCAGCGCATTGACTGGCCATGCGAAAGCTCGGACGAGTCGTGGCTAATGAGTCACGGCTCATGATGCCATTGCCTGGCGCCGCTACTCCTTTCCAAGCACGCGCATGGCCCCTATGTGCGCTGTTATCCGATGCCTGGCTGCGGGGGCAACTTGGCTTGCGTGCCGACAGAGAGGGCTCTGCCCGTCCACTGCAGCAGGTGTGCCAGAGGTCCGTCACCACTGGCCTAAGCAACCCCTTCCAGCTCTATCATTCTAAATATAATTTGGATCCAGAAAGGTGTGAGAGAGGAGAGAACTGATGCAAAGGCACGTGCCATTTCCTGGGGGCAGACAGCCACCCCACTGGAGCCACTGAGTCAGGAGTTGATGCACCATCAAGCGCCACATGGCCCACACCGCCTCCGTGCATTTCAGTCACCCCCTTTCCAGGCCTCATAAAGTTCCCTCTTGGCTTCACAGCAAGACTTCTCCTTCCTCCACACCGAGCGCCCTTGCTGACCCTTCCGCCCACCCTTCCCCAGAAACGGCTTCCCTGACAGACAGTAAGGAAGCAGGCACCACTGTGCTGTTTAAATCAGTTGCCCTTTCAGCCAGAGTTCGAGCTTGAGCTCTCCTACTAAGCTCACTCTCACGACATGCCAACTATCCGTTCCACAGCGGAGTGCAAGACACAGACACAGTCATGTGCACACGATGCACCTCTGTGCTCAGGAACCTGTGGCTGGGGAACTTACCCAACGCTGGCATGACACAGATGCATCTCTAGCCCCTCCTGAAATCAAGACCCAGCAGAGTGACAGACATCGCGGCTTCTCCTAAGCTGAGCGAGACGGCAGAGCACCCCACCCCACTCCGCTGCGCTGCTCTCCCCAGCTCAGGGGCAGCAGCTGCGGGTAACAGGCTGAGCAGAGGGAGAGCAGAGTCCTTCCACCGGCTCTGCCACCTACTGGAAGCCCCCCGAACTCAATGCCACATCACCCAATGCAGAGTGCGTCTTCGCCTGTCCATCCCCAATCGTATTTTGCTGGATGCACCTTTTAGTTTATCTGGTGTGGATGCTTTGCAGCCGGGAGGGGGAAGAAAGAGTCCGGAAGACCCACCATCCGGAACGTCCCCTTTCCCCTCCACTGAGGTCACTTTCCAGCCTTGGAGGGCACCCAGTGTGGGTGACTGCCAAGGGGAAGTGGGCCAGATCCCAGAAGGGAAAACGTGAACAATCCGATGGCCCCTAGGATGCTTGCCCAGGGGCCACAGGACTGCTCCCTAACGGAATCCCCCCTTCGCACCTGTTCCTTTTTCCTTGAGTGTTGTCCTTTTAGACTGTAAGCCTGGGAACAGGGTCAGATTTACCCTACTAATTCATGAAAACATTCAGCGTGCCTCATTGGCTGAACTGCAAATTAAACTATTTTCAAATAAACAAGCTCCCCTGTAAGGAAACATTACAGCACCCGAGTTTAGGAAAAAGGCAAGCGATTCATGTGGGGACATGGTCAAGGTTCATAAAATTGCACTGGTATAAGAAAAAGTGGGGAAATGATTTGTGCTATGGGAAAAGAGGATCAAGAGCCATTTCCATCCCTCTCTTTTAACAGCAGAATCGAGGATCCTTCCGTGAAACTAAATCATGGGAAATTCAAGAAAGAGAGTGTGTAGTTGAACTATGGAATGTGCTAACACCAGATCTGGCGATTTTTATTTTTTATCCTGCCTTTTTCCTACCAAGGGCTCAAGGCAGCTTACATCTCCTCCTCCATCTTATCCCCACAACAACAACCCTGTGAGGGAGGTTGGGCTGAGAGTCTGTGACTGGCCCAAAGTCACCCAGTTGGCTCCATGGCTGAGCGGCGACTCGAACCCAGTTCCAGTTGGTGATGGCCAACTTGGGCAGCTTAAAAATGGGACTAGACAAATTCATGGAAATAAGACTAGCAATGGCTAGAAGCAGTTATGGTCATAGCTTGCCTCTAGAATCAGCCACGGGGGAGCAGTAAGAGAGGTCACTGTACTTGTGGCCTCTTTATGAGTTTCGCGTTGGTCAGGCACTGTGAGAACAGAATGTCGGGCTGGATGGGCCTTTGACCCGATGCTGCTCCCTTCGGACGTTCTCCACGGGAGGTGGTAGAGGCCCCCTCTGGGCGGGTGTTCAAGGACAGGCTGGACATGCACATGGTGGCCGTGTCGTGAGCAGAGCCGGCTGGAGCCGGGGGTCAGACTAGATGGCCCGGGAGACCCCTTCTGACTCACGCTGTTTCTGTGTTTCAATTCCAACCATCCACATGCCATGGCTCATGAAGGCAGGAAGACCCCACCTCTCTCAGATCCCATCCCACCTCCCCAGAACGCCGCAGGTTCACCCACAGAAGGGGCCCCAACCGACAGTTTAAGAAGCGCCGCCTCAGCACCCTGGGGCCCTTCTATGGCCCAGCCAGTTGCGCAGGCAGGAGAACGGTGTTTTCATCCCTCCCCAGGCAAGCCAGCTCCGGCCCAGCACGCAGCGGGGAGGTCGGCTGACCCTGAGGCACAAGGAGGGGAGGGGAACCCTCGGCTAAAGGGGCCCCCAGAAATGGAGCCCCAGGCAGGGCACCCATCATGCTGCCAGGGTGTGCTTTCCCAGGGCTGTCATGACCATCACTTTCTGGCCCCAGCCACCCCTCGCAAGCTAGCCCAGCCACCACCAGACCTGCTGGATCACAGCTCCCATCACCCCCAACCAGCCGGCCAGAGAGAATGAGGGCTGCACCCCAGCACAGCCAAAGGGTTCCAGGCCGGAGAAGGTGGCCTTGCCCGGGGGGCCCCCTGTGGACCCCTCAGTGCGGGTCACCGCGCCCACGACGCGTCGGGGGCAGGAGGGTCCCACAGGCCCCCCAGGTCAGTCGCCCCGCCCCCGCTTCCCAGCAGCCCCCGCCGCCCAAAGAGCAGTCGGCCGGCCCCCTTGCGCCCCCCAGAAGAGCGAGCCCCTCCGCGGGCCCCCGCCCCGCCCCGGGGGCTCGGCGCGGTCTCACCTTCTTGACGGCCTGGTGGAAGCCGAACTCGCCGGCCTCCTTGAGGTCCAGCCAGATCATGGGCATGCGGGGCACCGCCTCCATCCCGCCGCCGGCCCGCGCCCTCGGCCCGCGCCCGCGCCCCTCGGCCCGGCG